CCCCTTGAGGTTGGAAGTCCTGTTATCCCTGTTACCTTCTGTTGGACACCTACTTCGGATGGTTCCTGGGTTTTCACTTCTGTTTTCCTTAACCTAAAGGCCATTAAATTTTCTAGGTTGGCAGATGTCTGTAGGGCAAAAATGTCTTCTCTTCCTTCAATTTGATTTTGGCTTGATAATTCCTTATTATCTTCTCAGCTTAGTAGTATTTTAAAGAAGATCTTTAAAAATTTACCCATCATTTTTTGGTTGTTTTTTTTTTTTTGGTTTGTCTGTTTTTATTTTTGTTTTTGTGGGAGAGTTGTCCAAATATACTAGACTTCCCTATTTCCAAGGGTACAGCTCAAACCCACTTATTTTATAGTTGACGAAAGTGAGTTCGGAGAGGCCGGTGACTAGCTCAGACCAAAGATCTGGGTAATGCAGAGCAGCCAGTGAAATCTGAGTCTCCATCCCAACTCCCAGGGCTGTGTTTTCTGACGTTTGTCCATTTGTTTGATAGTTTCGATCTTGCGCATAAACAAAGTGGATATTTGAGTAATCAAATCATAAGTTTAATGAGTATAGATGGGAAACCATAGAAATAAAAAATTACCTCTGTCTTTTCTCAAAATGGAGTGTTTGGTCCTAGTTTGGCCCAAGCTTTGCTTTTGTGTTTTGGATCAGAAATATCATATATTTTAGAGGGGCTTATGCAGAATTATTCTATTAGAATGAAATTTTGTGGATTGTCAGTTTCCCTCCTAAACCAGCTGTCAATCCCATCCATGGAAGTTACTAAGTCTGTCCTCATTTAGGTGGGGTAAAATAAATTAGAAAAGGTTGAAACAATGGAACCCATTTTAGTCCTTTGGAAGAATAATTTCTCTCATCCACTTGCTTTTATCCTTTCCTTTCTGCTGCCCAGATTATTGTGTTTCTGCTGTTGATTCCCATCTTGGATAGAGAGTGACAGTAGGACAAGGGAGCGGCAGGAACTAAATGTTCAGATAGCCTCTACCCCAGGCAGTTTTTCATTTGTTACTATGTTGCCCTGATGGATTTCCTGAACTATTTGTGTGCTTTTTTCTCATACTCACTGTGAATCTATCTAATTTCACTCTTTGTTTTGCCCACTCAGTACCTTGTAGAATTTTGACCCCTTTCTAGCTAGTATCCCATCTATCACAGTGTACATTTTGATAAGCTCATCATACCTCTGGCTTTACTGTCCCCCTATTTTTATTTTCCAGTCTTTTCGATTTCTTTAAATATTTACTTTTGTATATTCATGTTGTGTATAATTCTATAACCTTTTGTGGACCCAAGAATGGGCATAAACTCCTAAATACTTTCACTCTGCCTGGGAAGACATTTGAGAGGTAACATTCAGGATGGTTATAGAAAGAAATGATTTTCTTTCCAGGGAAGCATTGACAGTATCAGAAAAGAGCACTCCTGGCCTTGCGGTTGTCAGCACCTGTGTTTGCTGGTTGCTTGAGAGACTTACCTGTTCCATCGAAGCCTTAATGTTCTCATATATGAAATGGGGGTACTATTAGTGCATTGATGTACTTATTCTTAGTACAGTATCAGACACATACTTAAGCTCGCCAAACATTAGCTGCTGTTATTTTTTGATAGATGGAACAGTTTGGGCAGAGGGACTAGCAGATACAAAGCCATGGAGGTATAGAAATGCGTGCAGCATCTGCGTCCATCAGCAGGGAGGAAGGAATGGCCAAGGGTAGGCCACATGCAGGTTTACTAAAAAGTGAGTCTGGGCAAGATACAGACGTATCTGGATACAGATGTGATGGGAATGTGTACTGAATGCTGCTGAAACTGGCACCCTTAGCGGGAATTTGAAGATCTGGAGTGAGAGAGGCACGTGTTGGTGTCTTGGGGGCACGGATCTGTCTTATGTTCCTGGTAAGGCAGGATGGTGGTTCTCAAACCATTGTGCACAGGCAGGAGACTTGGGGACCTTGTTTAAAGCATGGTTTTCAGGAGCAATCCAGACTCAGTTGGTCTGCAGTGGACCCCAAGATGCTGATTTTGAAATGAATATACAGGTGATCCCCATGTAGGGGGTCCTCAGATGCCCTCCGAGATGGATGGGAATAGTTGTTGAGAAAATGCTCACTAACTAACTGGCAGACCTGATGAAGCTCAGTGGGAGGGCAGCTGGAAACAAATGACTTAAAAGCAACATGTTTACATTCATTATGAGTTACAAATCTCCACGCTCTCCCTCTGTGGCTTCTTGCTCTTAGATAAATGAGCACCCAGCTATACAATTTTTTTTTTCAGATTTTTTTTTTCCAAGAAAAAAGTATAATCAGAAATCATACAATTGTCCTATTAGGTTTGGGAGAGCTAGAGACTGGTCCTTATCTGGTAGACATAGCAGGAGACCAGGGGATGGAAGAGCCTGTTAAAAAGAGATCAGTAAATGGGAGGAAGCAGAAAGGAACGTGGAGCAGCGTGAGGTCAGGAAATGAGAAAGATGGAAATGAGAAAGGATGGGAAAAGAGCAGTCAGATCTGATTGGTTGGGAATCTATTTGTGAAGGAACCCAGCCAGTATTTAACCTGTTTTGAAAAAGCTAGACTTCCAGCATTTTTAATTAGTGGATTGCTCGCTTTTGAAATTGCCCAGTTGGGAATACTCAAGTTTTGATGTGTTTTATCTGGCTGCTAATTAGCAGGCTGCTTGGTTGACCATCATTTTCCCTTTATTCTGTGGACAGAAGATGTTTATGAAGGTCTCCTGAAACAGTCCAGCTCAAGTCTGGGTTAAAAGGCATAAGTCACTATGTATTTAGTAGGAGTCCATACTAAGCTATAAATTAAATTCTAGTACATCTTTTCTCCAACTCGCCTCTTCCTTTTTGCTCTTTAATGTGATTTTCTCTCTGCACTGGGCTTCTCAATCTGGACACAACTGACACTTGGGGACAGAGCATTTTTGGTGGGGAGAAGGGACTTTCTAACATTTGTAGAATGTTTAGCAGTATCCCCTCACCTCCACCCACTAGATGCCAGTGGCGCTGTCCCCCTTCCCCCCCCCCCCCCCATGTTGTAACATCCAAAAACGTCTCCAGACATTGCCAAATGCTTTCTGGGGTCCAAAATCACCCCCATGTGAGAACATCTCCTATTTCCTCCTTGTTTCTGCCTGCTTTTTTGTGTTTAAAAATTTCCTTAAAAATGGGAAAAATAAAAGGGGTCCAAACAACGTGAAATCTTATGGAACAGAGGGATTCAACTCTGTTCCTTCATTTCGTTTTGGCCAAATGCAAGAGGAAAAAAACTCTCAAATTAATCCAGGCTGGCTGTTTCAGGTGAGAATAAAGTCAAGACATGCCAGATTTTTGAAAATCCGCAGTGCTTGAGAGATTTTTGTCGTTTATACATTTTGTTGCTGAAAATATTTGGTTTTTGGGTAAGGATGAGGAGAACCGTGTAGGTTTGCCAGACTCCCCAGTCTAGAGTGTTCTGAGTCATTTGTGCAAGTATTTCAGTTTGACATACCCGGAGGCCAGGAGATGGGGTTACTCACCCGCAGATTTGGGGAAAGCCTTGCACCTGTCTCCAGACTGGATGCAGGACCCAGAGCTTTCTTGACATCCCTGAAAGCTCACAGTCACTAATTGTAACCATCCGCAGGAGACTTTTGTTTGCAGTTGCATTATCTTCTGAAGCACCCACAAAAGGGACAGAAATACTTGTTTGAAAAAAAAAGGGAAAGAATGCAAGTTTAGTAATAATAATTGTCTTTTGTTGCTGCTATCCCATCTCTTAAGAGATTCTAAAATGCCGTGTGTTCCACTGTACCCAAAAATAAATCAATTAATTATACTATGATTATTTCTTCTGATAATAAAATAGCAGTAATAAAAGGAACAACAGTGGTGCATTAGGAGAATAAACAGTATCACCGAAATGTTAGGAAACACAATAAATGGGATTATATCTCCTAAACCGAAGTTTCACACCTCTTCCTCCAGTCCTGTCAGACATTTATGATGGCCGTCTGTTATCAGCCACGATCAAAATAATGGAACAGTGAAACTTTTTATACTTATCAAGGACCTTTCATCAACAATCTCAAAGCCATTTCTAAATATAGAGAGACTGATCTTCAGAGCACGTTTATGTTTTAAGCAATGGATATGATAACTTCACCGTAATAGTCTCCAGCCTGAGCACTTTGCCACTTGAAGCCCCAACCCCTGGCATGGTCGGTGTTAGAACTTTGCTGGTCCAGAGTTTAGAAGAATTTCCACTTCGTGGTAGCTCATATAGGTCTCTTCACTATCACTTATCAAGATAAAACATTGCTTTAACAACTTTAATGTTCACATCTCGATGCCCAGATTAAGGATTATAGCCAAGAGGTCAATTCTGTTACAATAATTAAAATACTGAGATAGTGTTGTCTTTACTTAAAATGTTAAAAAAAAAAAAACAAACACCCACATTGTAATATCCTTGTAATGTACTGGTGGAAATAGATTACTGAATCTGCTTTTTGTCTTGTGTATTTTGTTGCATGCCTGTTGTCTGGTGTAATAAGCCTTGGCTAGAGAACAAGAAGTATCCACGAGCATTATGAGCACAGATGCTGCTAATGTTGGCATGAATATTTGCCTTATATTTTCAAATATACATTTAAGGTTGTATGTGTCGTTTTAAACTTATTTTGTACAAAAGATCTTAATAAAACTTTAAGTGCAGTTTCATGTCTATAAAAGTTGAGGCTATGAAACACTGAAGGATAGAAGTAATTTTTATGTTCATACCTCTGGTTCCTGAGGGTCCAGTTCATTTCTGCTGTGAATTTAAATGAGTTAATTTAAGTAGATGGGTCAGAAGCCACTATCATCATGGTAGCCTCATGCCTGATTCTTAATTAAAGGCAACAGGAGATTAATTTGAAACATTAATTTAAAAGCGCATATACAAAAAGGAAGAATTACTGCAAGAAAGCCTAAAGAACTTTTCTCTTGTCCCTAGATGTAGAAGACAGAAGTAGCTCAGGGTCCTGGGGGAATGGAGGACATCCAAGCCCATCCAGGGTAAGTATATCTAATCTTTTTTCCCACAACCAGACATCCACATATGTAAATTGACAAACTGAAGGTGAGTTTCTCTCTCTCACACACACAAATGCACAGATATATATATGCATACTAAGTTTAATGAGGATCAGCTTGTGTTTGCAATTTTTTTTTTCTTTCTCTTATTGGATGCTGTTACTGAATTTGACACCTGTTCCACTTCTGCTAACCAGAAGAAAAATCCTTCATTAAATATTTGGCCTTACTTTGCCAGTTATTGATCCAGTATTACAGAAAGTTATTTGTTGTAGCTGGCACAACTTTGAAAAAAATCCAAGTAACCCTGTAATGTATTGGTGTAGACTACAGAATAATTCTGAAGACGGGGTCTGAAGTTCTATCTGATCAGTATAATCTATATAATAAATTAGGGTTGATTTCATTTCATAAATGTCATATTAATACCTTTGGTCACCAGTTGGGTTCATTCATTTATTTGGTTTCAGATTTTTGTTACTCCTTTTCATGGTTTTCCTTCATGCTTTAGCTGTTAGTTTGGGTGTAATGGGAAGACCATGGAATGGGGTGGGAGTGGGGTGTTTTGGCAATATGTATATTTGTGTGTATATGACCTTGGGCATGTCATTTCACTTCATTGGTCCTCATTTTTCTAATTTATAAAACGAAGAAGTAAAGCTAGAATATCTTTTATCGTCCTTCCCACTTGAAGTTATATGATTTTTAATGTATAATCTGTTTTTAATGGAATCATTTCTAGGCCCTCTAAAATCCATGTCAGCTTTTCTGATATACATATAAATACCCCAAATTAAAAATAGACTGAGAGCACATAGTCATACAAACGTGTGCCCCTCCCCCATCCAGCTGTATAAATGAAGCATTCTGCAGGGAGGGAACATTTTACTGTAGGTATTCACATAGATTTGAGGTGGGGGTGTTTCTGTTTTGGCAGAAGAGGCAAGGAAGGTAATCAAGCTGTCACAATGAGGACATTTCAGCAAGCCACTGTTGTCCATTTCCACCTGTCCTTTGACCTTGTGGTTCTCGCTGTGGTCTTCATAGTGTGGCAGGGTCTGTAAGCTTACCAAGAGCTTTGTTGAGCCACTGCACCAGCTGTTGGGGTTGATATCCTAATGCATTATATGGATGGGTTGAGGAAATCTTTCCTCCTCCTCATGTTACAGGCTGCACTTGCAGAAATAAATCCATTCCCCTTGACAGCAAGTGTAGGAGATGACAGAATTTCCCCCTATCGTTTAGCTCATTCACACTTAATGTCTTATGATTTCTCACTTTAACACTACTTTTAATTGTTCTTCTGACAACAAGGTCCCTTAGGACTGTCCTTTTATCTCTTTTTCAGTAATTGTCCTGCCATTTTTTTTCAGGGAATATTTTGGGGAATAATTTTGAGTCAATATTTTGTAATTTCTGTCTTCTCAATCCAGGGAGTTTGCATGTGACTGATCTCTGTGGCTGACTTGTCCCGACAACCATGCTCAGTCCTGTCTTCTCTCATCTTAAAGTGGTGATGTTATCCTCTACCTTGCAGCACTGTTCTGCAGTTTAAATTCCGTAGTGTATATTCAAGTGCACTGTCTAAGACGAGGACACTTAGTAAATAAAAATCAGTGTTCTACAATGCCTGGCATAGAATAAGTGAGTGCAAAACCCATGCTAGGTATTAAAATATATAACATCTTTTTATACAATGACATATTGGCAGTGTTAGATTATGGTATCATTCAAGTTAATTTTTCTAAATGAGGAAAATTGATTAAAAACAGGATTATTTGGAACCTTACGGGTTCCAATTATTCTCTAGTGAAGTGACATGCATTTTCATTTCTCATACAGCATCCGTCTTTTTTTTGTGTGGGCAGATTCTGCCCTTTGACTAACATGCCAACTGTTACCTCTGAGTAAATTTGACTTGGTCTTTATGGGCACTACAACCAGCTGAGCAGATCGACTTTTTTTTTTTTTCCCCTTCCTTTATGGTTACTTGATGCACCTTAGTCTGAAATTTGAACCCTATCTATAATATAGGTGATTTTAACTTTTCCTATATGCTATCAGATTCCTTCATTAATAAGTGGACAGTTTAAAAGCATTATTTTAGGGGCACCTGGATGGCTCAGTCTGTTAAGTGTCTGCCTTCAGCTCAGGTCATGATCTCAGGGTCCTGGGATGGAGCCCATGTTGGGCTCTCTGCTCAGCGGGGAGTTTGCTTCTCCCTTTCCCTGCTGCTCACCTGCTCATGCTCTCTCTCTGTCAAATAAGTAAATAAAATCTTAAAAAAAAATAAAAACATTGTTTTAATTTTAAATTCTGTTAAAATAATTAGATAATCATAATCATGAGAGATTTCTGCCAAAAATTAAAGTCTGCTTTAAAACTTTTTTTTGGTGGCATGCTTTGTCCAAATCCAAAAGTACTAATTTTTTTTAAACCATTTGGCAGTTTCTTTTTTTTTTTTTTAAAGATTTTATTTATTTATTTGACAGACAGAAATCACAAGCAGGCAGAGAGGCAGGCAGAGAGAGAGGAGGAAGCAGGCTCCCTGCTGAGCAGAGAGCCCGATGCGGGGCTTGATCCCAGGACCCTGGGATCGTGACCTGAGCCGAAGGCAGAGGCTTTAACCCACTGAGCCACCCAAGTGCCCCCAAAAGTACTAATTTATGCTAAAGTTTTAATGTTCCTCTGCAGTCATGTTGTAATAATTTTAATGTTCTTACATGTTAATTACTTATGGAATGATCCAATTCCCTTACAACCACAGTAACAACTATCACAAAACATTGAAATTTCAAGACTGTAAAACCAAATGTTGTTCAAAAGGCTGTATCTTGATCTTCTAAAAGCAATTCATTATAGGCTATGGGTCATTCTCACTGATGGCACAATCTTGCTTTTTTTTTCTTTCTTAAAATAACGTGGGCTTCCTAGTGCCTGCGTGGCTCAGTTGGTGAAGCATCTGCCTTCTGCTCAGGTCACGATCCTGGGGTCCTGGGATCGAGTCCTGAATCGGGCTTCCTGCTCAGCGGGGAGTCTGCTTCTCCTTCTTCCTGTGCTGCTCCCCCTGCTTGTGCTGCCTCTCTCTCTGTCAAATAAATAAATAAAATCTTAAAAAAAAAATTAAGGGTGCGTACCAAAATAGTAACTTCCAATATTTGCAGTACCTTTTATATGTGTCAGGTGTTTTATTTCAGTTAATCATGTCAACAGCTTCCTGCAGTTGATTCTACTATTATTATTTGTAAGATTTCACAGTTGCCATGAGGAAAACTTGAACTCTGCAGACTCTAGAGCCCTCACTTACTGGACCTGTGAAGAGGCAGTACCCTTATAATGAGGTTCCACAGTGGGAATGTGGACTTCTAGTTTCTTTGGCTCTCGGAGTTGTCAGTAGGGGAGGTATTTATATGCTGATTTACTCATGCGAAATGAAAACTTATGATTTTTTTTTATTTACAGAACTATGGAGATGGGACTCCCTATGACCACATGACCAGCAGGGACCTTGGGTCACATGACAATCTCTCTCCACCTTTTGTCAATTCCAGAATACAAAGTAAGACCAATTTTAAATTAACATGCACTTTTCGAATGCTGATATTTTGCCATAGAAAGGGGCGAACACAGTCCAGACAGATGATCTGTTTTTAGGGACTTGGATATTTACCCACTTCACTCTAGTGATTTTAAATTGCAGGAAAATACTGACAGTTTATTATGTTTGGTAATCGCACGTAAAGGACTACATTTTATAACCGTGTGGAATTATAGGATTTCAGTGATATCGAATTGCCGTGGAAATTTTGTCTTCCTTATAAAGCTCTTATCGCAATTTCAGTGCTGCAATACTTGTATTCTGATTTAAGGTTGATAAAGTGGTGAATATTTAAAATACGGGCTTGTCTGTTGGCAATGATATATAGTCTGGGGTTATGGAAACCCCTTTAATAATAGGTTTAGATTGCTGAAATCAGAGTAGTGTATTGAAGTTGATTGTAAGTTCTGGTTGTGTATTTATCTTGGTGTGAGCTTTTTAGTGCTGGTGGTCTAGGCGGACTGTATCTTACTTCACTGGAATCAAGCTACACTTGAGACAGTTTGCGAGTTTCTAGCTTGTTCTTCATACTGGCTTCTTTCATGGGTTTTTCTGTTTCGTTTACCCTGTAGGGATGTGTGTCTAACAGCAGTAACCTGAGCAATGAGCGATAGCAGGTTTCTTTAGTTTCTAGTGGAACAATGATCTTTGTTCTGGTAAATGTCGGGTTTTTTTCTTAAACAACATTAATAAATCTCTCAACTTGGTCAAATTCTATTGCAAATCCATCAATAAATGAAGTAAAATTTCTTGGCAGGAGGTGTTGGACCATACTCCAGGAAACACACACAGCCATAATTATATCACTTTGAAACCATAATTGCAAATGCTTCTAAAGAATTTCCCTATTTTTAAGCCTTGGAAGCTTACTTGTTATTTAATATATAGATTGTCCTCGAATCTCAGTCATTTTTTCAAAGTCACCATCAAATCCAGGTGTTTAACACAACATAGATGAAGCAGAGGGATACTAGCAACTTATTTTAAGTGACATCATATGCTCGTGCCTTTAAATATCATTCCAACTTTGAGAACCATGAAGTTGTGTTTGATTATTGGTTCTTACCCTTGTGTTCCTTTTTACTTTCAAACGATAAATGTCCTAGCTATGCCTTAATTTTGTAGCTAAAGCCAGGTTCCCAGTTTTTTATGAGTTGTTGAGAGGGAGGTGCAATAGTTTCATCCAGATACAGAAGACGAGATGTATCTGTCAACTTAGATTTCAAAGAACAACTTTGGACTCTTCCGTGACAATAGTGCTAATATTAAATTCTAACACCCTGCTTCTCCAGTCATCCTTGATCAATTTCATAAAATAGAATAAAAGATTAACTTGAAAATCATCATCTTGGGAAGTAGTACTCCGGTGGCATATTAAAGAACTCCCTTGGAAGATTCTAAAACTCTCCTCTGATGAGCAAAAGTAAAATAGAATGAATGAATCGCTACTCATATTCAGAAGTGTATGTTTAGGTACGTGATAAAAAGTTTTCCCCAAGACCAACTTGATAAGTTAGTATCACATAATACGCCAGGCAATAGAAAGATATTAAATATTTGTTCTTGTTCATCTGTCCTTATGGGCAACTGTTTTACCAGCCAAATTCGTTTTTCCATCCAAGTAGTATTTAAAATATACGTGGGCTGCGAGCCTGGAGCTAGAGCAGAGAGAGCTGACTCTTTTCACTTAGTTGTTTAAGCTGAAAGTCCATGTCAGCTGTGTTCTTTTATCCCGTCTGCCCTCCTTCCCATTAAACTCTTAAATATGGAGGCCAAGACAGTCTCCTGCATTGTGATAGGAAATGCTACTATGTCCGGGAGGCTCCCACCCACTGTTCCCCATGAAAGAACTTCTCTGTTAGATAAGCTGTCTGGTCTGAAACATGGCTCTTTATTGTTTACAAACTGCTACATTTTCCACCTCAAGCAGATTTTTGCACAGAATAGATTTGTGCTGGGGCTAAATGGTTTATCTGACATTAACGGCGCAGTGTCAGACTGGGGTCAGGGAAGTCGCCCTCGGAGCGAGAGGGCACGGCGCAGTCTGCAAAAAAGGGAAAAAGACATTTAAACAACTATGAAATACCTTGCATTTTTAGTTTGGAAAAGAATTTAAAAATATTTTCAGAGGACTGCCCATGAGGCTGCATTAACTCTTGCCACCCCTGTCTCACATCCCAAGCGCCTTCTGGATCTGGCTTGACTATCTCAGGGCTAGATTAAGGGAACAAAGATTCTTATTGATTTTTGCCCAAGCTGCTGTTTATTGAAAATAAAACCACGTTTGAGATGGGCCGTGTTTGGTGTGTGTTTATGCTGTGCTTTTCTAAAGAGAAAATAGGTTGTCTTCCAGAAATTAGACAACCAATTTATAAATGGAGACGAAGATAAAATAAAATCTATAAATGTAGCCAATGATTTGAACTCATGGAATACATGGTCTGCTCTACTCTGAGCTCTCTTTATGTCCAAATCCGTATTTGGTGGACTCGAAGTTTTCATTCTACCAAAAAAAGGCATTAGACATCACTGGAAGTTTTTGACAACAGTCAATACCCGCTTTCAGAATCTTTAGTTTTCATTTAAATTACAAAGGATTTCTTTACATGTCAGAGATTTAATTCTGCTGTGATGTCACATTAGGGTAAAAGCTATAGCATAAGAAATAAATCAGCCACTTTATTGGACCAGATTCTCTGTTGTCAAATCAATCAAGCCTGTGACTGAATTAGGCGTCTGCTACAGAAACAAGTGACACTAATTTTACGGGAAAGAGTTATTAACTGCAGATGACCTGATTTTTTTTTTTTTTTAAGTAAACTGTTCATTTAGTGAGGTTTTATTTTATTTCAAGGACAGAAAAAATAATGAACTGCTCTCTCCTTTTGGGAGTGCATTATTATTATATATTTTGTTCTTAATGGCAATACGCTATTTTGGAAATGATGCAGGCATTGCTAACATTTACTCATAAACCCTTATGTAACAAAAGCCCTTTATTACAACTGTGAACTTTCTGATGTCACAGGAATGGTTTTGCGTCAGTGTTCCAGTTTTTGTGATAGAATACTTAAGTTTGGCACCAGAATGCCAAAACTCAACTTATTTGTGTATCTCAAGTTTTTGCAGAATGGTATATAGATAATAGAGTATCTCCATTAATTTATTCTTTAAGCCTGCATATCCGAATGTAGTATCCTATTGGATAGTTTGTGAATCCCTAAACTAAAAAATGAACAAATGAATACAAACGCGCCTGCCTGCGCGCGCGGGTGCGTGCGCGGGTGCGTGCGCAAGTGTGTGTGTGTGCGCACACATGCCTATTCCACTAGAATTAATGATCCCTCTCCGTCAATAAGGCTGCACCACTTTTTCCATTACTGTCCGTACTTATAGTTGCCATACCAAGTTTTGCAAGTTGAGATTGTGTAAATCCTCTAAAGGAAAACATAACTAAAATAAACAAAAAAGCCAGCCCCTAATTTAAAATAAAAATAAGTGTGCATGACTTTTTCCCTCTCCTGTGGGGGAGTCTTGGGGGAACGGAGAGACTACGTTAGTGAGTCATCTAGCTGACTGCCTACCCTGACCAACTCGTGTATGTACTCTCTTTTTAAAATGTTTTTTATTTTTTTATTGAGGTATAATTGACAGATGACATTATATTAGTTTCAGGTGTACAGCAAAGTGATCCAATATTTGTGTATTCTACTCTTTTACCTGACATTTTCTGAATCCTCAACCACTGCTTTCGCTGGGCAGAGACAAGCAAGCCACTTTGCATTTTTGCTTCTTTGAAATGCCATGTCCCGTTTCGCATCTGGAAAAAACAGATCGCTTTTTCTTTGTGACGACGGATGGTTATTAATGATAAAAACATACACTTGATCTGCTGGAAACTTGTTCGCTACAGTTTTTAAACAGTTTGACTAAACCTTTATAGGTGGTCAGTGAGTAGCTTTCAGAATATGCTGATAGGACAGAGGGGCCGTGGGTCTGAGTCTTGTGTTTTTAAGAGGATTGTATGCTATGGAATAGTTTGAAAATACTGACAAGAGCTATATGCAAAGAGTATGGACTTTTTAACATTCCTGCCCCTGCTTGTTTTCTTGCAACCATTAAACTTTTGCAGGTAATTGTCCAAATGTTTTTACAATGGGAAACAATATATTTTCTAGCTAATACTTTTTGATCTGAGGAAGGACCTAAGCATGCATTTTCCTTCTATTGTTCCAGAGCCTTAATTGAAAACCAGATTGTTTGAGTGAGCAACTTGCCAGTAAGATGACAGACAGGCATCGGTAACTGAAGGATGTGAAAAGTGATCCTTTTGGGCAGTTGGCTGCAGCGTGGTTCAGCCTCAGCTGCTGGGTTCCTCAGTGTCCCGTCGTGAATGGTTCGGTTTCCTTGTTGTGGTGTTTGGTTCTAGTCCCACTAACGGTACTCCACCAGAGCCCTAAATCATTTTCCACCATAGAGTAACTGGTTTCTAAACTAGCTCAGTGGAACATTTTACTGCAGGATTAGATCGGGGTTTCAGGCAGGACTGAAGAAAGCTGCTGGCTTATAGGATGACCTTTGAATCTCATCTGGGTTAGCGGTTGATATTTTGATTTGGTTACTGTGGTCATATTGTGACAGCTGCTAGCTCATTATAATTCGGTTCCACTGCTCCGTTGGCCTAGCGGGAATATTTAGGTTTGTATTACTTCAAAGTGTTTATGACTACCCTGAGTTTAGCCCGGCATAAAGGTGAAGTGTTGTGAGTGTTTTCAAATCCCAGTGGCTGAGGCCAGTGGCACAGTCTTCTTATAAAATGGCGAATGTGAGTAGATGCTAATACGGGGAGTTTTTCTTTTCATTGTAAAACTGGAAATAAACCTAAACGAAGAGACTCTTACTAGGAAAACTGTTTTGAAAACCTTAATGTACAATAACCTCAGGAGACACAGTTTTTTTCG